TCCCAGAGACCAACTAAGTTAGTTATTGGTGTGAGCTTTCGTGTGCATGCACACTTCTTCTTCAGATACTTCTTCAGTTTTCTGTGGATTGATGTTTGCTCTGATTCAGCAGTAAAGAACAGGTTTCCCAAGGGAAAGTGGCAGGAAATCCACTCCTGCTTTCTAAGTGTGGATGAGCTCAAAAGCTCCAAGTGCTGCAACTTTTCTTCCTAGGAGAGCTGCTACATCCCGTTGGTTGTTCTGGTTGCCCTGTTCCAACTCTGCGGTATCCTTTCTGAGGCAAGGTGGCCAGAGCTGTCCACAGCCTTCCAGGCACAGTTGCTGTATGAAACCCTCCGAGGACAAGGCAATATTGGGCTCCCTGCCCTCCAAGACTGAAGTTTGCACAACGCAGACTTGACCCTTCAGGTCAGCTTCTGGGGATGGCAAGGATTATGCTGGGTTTTAATACCGAAGAGGCACAAAGGGCAACAGCTTAATGAGACGAATAGGGATTAATAATCAACTCCCGACGTTGGTTACATAACGATGCATTAATAATGTAAACCTCTTACATCATTAATACCTGATTATATGCTACAACCCCATAGACACTTGGCCCTGTTTATAGAGAAAGGCTGGAGTCAGGGGAAATGGGGAGTATAAATAAATATAAGGGGTAGGTGGGGCTCGTCCACCTGGGAAGGGAGCCCATCTAGCAGAAGGAAAGCTCTGATCCTAAACCTCTGCTGCCTTGCAGGATATCATTGAAAAAATGAAATAAAACAAAATCTTCCAGACCCAGGGGTGCCTTCAGATGTCTTCTAAAGGATGCAAAGTTACATATCTCCTTGGCTCAGGCCTTGCATAACTCCAGACCCTCCAATGAAAATAGGGACATCCAAACCACAGAGCCTAGGACTTGCCGATCAGAAGGTCAGCGGTTCGAATCCCCGCAATGGGGTGAGCTCCCGTTGCTCGGTCCCTGCTCCTGCCAACCTAGCAGTTCGAAAGCACGTCAAAGTGCAAGTAGATAAATAGGTACTGCTCCGGCCGGAAGGTAAACGGCGTTTCCGTGCGCTGCTCTGGTTCGCCAGAAGCAGTTTAGTCATGCTGGCCACATGACCTGGAAGTTGTACGCCAGCTCCCTCGGCCAGTAAAGCAAGGTGAGCGCCGCAACCGCAGAGTCGGCCACGACTGGACCTAATGGTCAGGGGTCCCTTTACCTTTGTTGTTGTTTAGTCGTGTCCGACTCTTCGTGACCCCCTGGAGCAGAGCACGCCAGGCACTCCTGTCTTCCACTGCCTCCCGCAGTTTGGTCAAACTCATGCTAGTAGCTTCAAGAACACTATCCAACCATCTCGTCCTCCGTCGTCCCCTTCTCCTTTCCCAACATCAGGGTCTTTTCCAGGGAGTCTTCTCTTCTCATGAGGTGGCCAAAGTCTTGCAGCCTCAGCTTCAGGATCTGTCCTTCCCTTTACCTAAGGAAAAGCGTGACATTCCAGGATCAAATCAGAAACCAGGGCAGCTTCTGTAAATCCAGGACTGTCCCTGGAAAATAGGGACACTTGGATGATCTGCCATAGGCCTGATCCAGTAGTCTCTTCTTAGATTCTTATGTCTCTTGCCCACAGGTTAGAATGCCATGATGTCACACTCCTGTCTTCCCCTTGGGATTCCAAGGATCTAAACAGGTAATCCCTTTTCCTGCTTTGTGGGTTGGTCGCCATCCCGGTCTTAAGCGGCTCTGGTCAAGAATGGTGGCTTATCTGGGATGCGCACCTTCTGAGCTTCCTTGTGGCACTGTTCCCCCACCCTGCCCCTAGGGCCTGTCTAGGGCTACTAGTCATTGCCTGTGGCCGCCTGCGGCAAAAGTGGCTGGCCCCAGCTGCACCCACAATGCTGTGGGGCCTGGAAAATGAAGCCACGTGAGTTTGGTTGGCTAGGCTGGTTCCAAGCCAGGAACCACGGAAGAAAGGCAGAGGTGGAAGAAGAAGAAGAAGAAGAGTTTGGATTTGATATCCCGCCTTTCACTCCCCTTCAGGAGTCTCAAAGCGGCTCACATTCTCCTTTCCCTTCCTCCCCCACAACAAACACTCTGTGAGGTGAGTGGGGCTGAGAGACTTCAAAGAAGTGTGACTGGCCCAAGGTCACCCAGCAGCTGCATGTGGAAGGAGCGGGGAAGCGAACCCGGTTCACCAGATTACGAGACTACCGCTCTTAACCACTACACCACACTGGCTCTCAAAGGAAAGGAAACATAGCTGTCCCATGGAAGTCCAGTTGATACTAATAGGGCTTGCAGCCCCACAAACATATGGAAATTGGAATAGCCTCCTGGATTAGAGCAATGGCCCATCTGGTGCAGCCTCCCATGGGACCCTCAGCCGTCTCTGGATGCACTTTAAGTGGTCAGCTGCTCACTGGCAGGGAATGCAGGTCCTGAGTTGAACCCCTGGTGTATGTGCTTCATTTTTTAAGTTCTAGGGGTAGCAGGGCTGCCAAAGAACTCTCCATCCCTGAAGTTTTCGGAGAGCTGCCTGCCAGTCAGAGAATACATTTCTGGGCTAGATGCCAGACTGGCCTGACCTGAGCAAGGGTCGTATTTTTCGCTCTGTGAGACGCACCAGACCACAAGACGTGCCTAGTTTTTGGAGGAGGAAAACAAGAAAAAAATATTCTGAATCCCAGAAGCCAGAACAGCAAGAGGGATCGCTGCGCGGCGAAAGGAGCAATCCCTCTTGCTGTTCTGGCTTCTGGGATAGCTGCGCAACCTGCATTCGCTCCATTAGACGCACACACATTTCCCCTTACTTTTTAGGAGGGAAAAAGTGAGTCTTATAGAGCAAAAAATACGGTACATATTCTATAACAGGTGTAGGCAACCTAAGGCCCAGGGGCCGGATCTGGCCCAATCTCCTTCTCAATCTGACCCAGGGGCGGTCCGGGAATTGCGTGTTTTTACATGAGTAGAATGTGTTCTTTTATTTAAAATGCATCCCTGGGTTATTTATGGGGCATAGGAATTCGTTCATTCCCCCCCCCAAAAAAAATATAGTCCGGCCCACCACATGGTCTGAGGGACGGTGGACCAGCCCACGGCTGAAAAAGGTTGCTGACCCCTGTCCTATAACTTTTTTTGGCAGCAGTTATTTGCGTCTAGTCAGGGTTAAGCTGCTACAACATCGGTTTTATATTATTTATTTAATTAAGCTATTTCTATACCGCTTAACTGCCAAAGTTTCTAAGCGGTAAATATATAGATTAATTTTTAAGAAGAACATACAGTACAACGGATAAGAGCCATTAAAATTAATCAGAAAAACAGAAAGTTGATTCGGCACTATATATTTGGTGCATTTAAAATGCATCTCAATCATCATCATTATTCATTAAATTTATATACTGACTTTTATTGGAGGATCACAGGGTGGTTTACAGTATAGAAACCACAAAAATATAACATAAGGCAAACTAAGCAATGCCCCTCTAGTTTAAAAGGCCATTGATTGTTTAACAGTCTGTGCCTACAGGTGAGTCTCCCTGGGGAAGAATATCCCACAAATGAGAAGCTACTACAGAAAAGCCCCATTCTCATGTTGCCATCCTCTGAACCTCCCCTTTATGTTGCTTTCGTCACTTTTAAAATGTGGTGATCTCTCCATCATTCCTGATGCCTTAGGATGGAGCATACTCGGAGTCTGAATGGCTGAGGAGCAGGAGCTGGTCCCCTCTCGCCTTTCCTAGGCTAATGGGGACTGGACCTTGTGGGGCTGCCCCCACCTAGAAACCCTAAACCATTCCCTTCCTCTCCAGATCAACGGTTGCCCAGGACTGTGGGGATTGATTCCTCCCTATTTCCAGGGATATTTTCTGCAGCAGCTGAGATCCCGCAGCACCACCATGGTGAAAGAACCGGTCCGCATCGTACCCTTGTGGAGGGAACTCCAAAGCCAGCTTTTCCACAAGCTTCAGATGGTAATGCAGAACCACTGTCCTCTGATGAGAACAGGATTTTCTCCCAGTGATTTGGGGGCTGGAAGGGAGGGTGTGTGTGTGCATGCATGAAAGACAGACATAGAGATGGTCCCAGAAAGTTACTGGCTGTCCTTCTGTGTCAACTGGCTCAAGCCTTGCTGTGTCAATTCTGTGTCCAGGGCAGCTATTTACCAGCTCCATCTGGTACGCTGGTTGAGACCCTACCTGCCCACGGACTGTCTCGCCAGAGTGGTGCATGCTCTGGTTATCACCCGCTTGGACTACTGCAATGCGCTCTATGTGGGGCTCCCTTTGAAGGTGACCCGGAAACCGCAATTAATCCAGAATGTGGCAGCTAGACTGGTGACTGGGAGTGGCCGCCGAGACCATATACCACCGGTCTTGAAAGACCTACATTGGCTCCCAGTATGTTTCCAAGCACAATTCAAAGTGTTGGTGCTGACCTTGAAAACCCTGAACAGCCTTGGCCCAGTATACCTGAAGGAGTGTCTCCACCTCCACCATTCTGCCCGGACACTGAGGTCCAGAGCTGAGGGCCTTCTGGCGGTTCCCTCGCTGTGAGAAGCCAAGCTACAGGGAACCAGGCAGAGGGCCTTCTCGGTAGTGGCGCCCGCCCTGTGGAACGCCCTCCCACCAGATGTCAAAGAGAAAAATAACTACCAAACTTTTAGAAGACATCTGAAGGCAGCCCTGTTTAGGGAAGCTTTTAATGTTTAATAGGTTATTGTATTTTAGTGTTTTGTTGGAAGCTGCCCAGCTACTACTACTATTATTATTATTCTGCCAGCCAGCTGAAGGCTGTTTTATTCCAGCCGTCCTTTGAGAACCGACTACTTTTTAATAAAAAGGCCTTTATCTTAACAATACTGTGATAAGAAAACAGCAGCAGCAGCCAGTTCCTTCCTTCTGGCCTTCGATCAACTGTCCCTGAGCAGCAGCCTTGGCTGTGCCTGCCACCCCAACGCCGAGGTGGCATGAATGCGGACCGTGTGCTGTAAGTGGCGCAGGCGCATTCCCCCTGCCAACCCCACTGTCTCTTCCCTCCTCTGGGCAGAGCGCACAGGAGGTGACAGAAGGATCCAACATCATGCTGAGCGACAGGCCCACCATCATATTCCGGAAGAGCAGCTCCCCCAACTTCATGCCGGTCATCTGCCACTATTTGGGTGAGGCAGGACACTACTTTGCATCCTTCAGCCGGAAGTCCTCCAAGAAGGGCAAGGTGAGCTGGGCCCTGATTGGCCAGGGAGATGGGGAGAGAAATGGCTGAGGGGTGTGGCTGCCCTCAGCCTCCAACCCCCAAACATGGTCAGGATTCTATCCATTATCTTCAAGGAACCCCCACCCTCAAATCCAGCAGCTCCAAAGAATGCAGAAGCTTCATGTTGTTTAGTCGTTTAGTCGTGTCTGACTCTTTCGTGACTCCCTGGACCAGAGCACACCAGGCACTCCTGTCTTCCACCGCCTCCCGCAGTTTGGTCAAACTCATGCTGGTAGCTTCGAGAACACTGTCCAGCCATCTCGTCCTCTGTCGTCCCCTTCTCCTTGTGCCCTCCATCTTTCCCAACATCAGGGTCTTCTCCAGGGAGTCTTCTCTTCTCATGAGGTGGCCAAAGTCTTGGAGCCTCAGCTTCAGGATCTGTCCTTCCAGTGAGCACTCAGGGCTGATTTCCTTCAGAATGGAGAGGTTGGATCTTCTTGCAGTCCATGGGACTCTCAAGAGTCTCCTCCAGCACCATAATTCAAAAGCCTCCATTCTTCGGCGATCAGCCTTCTTTATGGTCCAGCTCTCACTTCCATACATCACTACTGGGAAAACCAGAGCTTGAACTATACGGACCTTTGTTGGCAAGGTGATGTCTCTGCTTTTTAAGATGCTGTCTAGGTTTGTCATTGCTTTTATCCAAAGAAGCAGGCGTATTTTAATTTCGTGGCTGCTGTCACCATCTGCAGTGATCATGGAGCCCCAGAAAGTAAAATCTCTCACTGCCTCCATTTCTTCCCCTTCTATTTGCCAGGAGGTGGTGGGACCAGTGTCCATGATCTTTGTTTTTTTGATGTTGAGCTTCAGACCATATTTTGCGCTCTCCTCTTTCACCCTCATTAGAAGGTTCTTTTAATTCCTCCTCACTTTCTGCCATCAATGTTGTGTCATCTGCATATCTGAGGTTGTTGATATTTCTTCCAGCAATCTTAATTCTGGCTAGGGATTCATCCAACCCAGCCTTTCACATGATGAATTCTGCATATAAATTAAATAAGCAGGGAGACAATATACAGCCTCTCCCTTAAATCATAGAATTGCAGAGTTGGAAGGGACCTCAAGGGTAATCTAGTTCAACCCCCTGCGCTGTGCAGGAATCTCAACTAAAGAATCCTGACAGGTGGCCAGCCAACCTCTGCTTAAATACCTCTCTGAAGGAGAGTCCACCACCTTCTGAGGAAGTCCATTCCATAAGGGGAGTCCTACAGGATCAGACCAAAGCTCTCCTTAGTCCTGTTTCCCATTTGTGTACAGCAGTCCCCTTCCCTGCTGTTGTTTCCCAGCAACTGGTGTTCAGAGGCAGGCCACCCCTAATCCCAGAGGGAACCTAGATGGCCGCCATGACTTCTCCAGGTCTTTCCTCCCCTGCTGTGCAGGAGACAAGAAACAGGCTTAGGAAATGATATTTTCTTACCGCCATGCTTGATCTAGATCCCAGTCTCCTCTTCCACAGCTGGGGCAACGTCCCAGGCCCCTTGAGCTCCCACCGCCCTTGCTTCAAGTCAGAGAGCCCACCTTCCCCTCCTCTAAAGAGCGCAGGAGTCCCGATTCCCAGGCCTCCCCCCTGACTGGCATCGCAACTCCTGAAAGGGGGTTATTGCCCTATGGCCCAGAGAGGGCAGCAGCAGAAACACAAGGCAGCTGGAGAGAACCTTGAATACCACGTCCCTTGTCTAGCACCACAGCTTTGTATTGGATTGTATGATCTATAATAAGCCAATTTGGAGATTGTTTGGGGTGTCTATGTCTTTAAATAGGTGACCCAAGATACTAACCCTACCCGCAGGGCACGGGACAGAGTCCATTGCCTCTGACTCTCAGACTTCTCCCGCAGGTTCGAGTCTGGGTGTACAACCCAGAGGACGAGACCCCCATGACAGAGAAAGAGTACGCCATAGAGGAAGACCCAAAGGTCCTGTACATCTCCTATGCTTCCCACCTGCACCTCTTTGTGGCCTACTGCGATGACATCCACCTGCGGCTTTTTGGTGACCACACTCAGGAATGCAAGATGCTCTCCGAGGTGAAGTCGCCCTATTCGGTTACCAGCATGTGCTACAACCCTGAGACAGGTGAAGTGGTGACAGGTGCCATTGGCATTGTGGCCTTTTGGTGCTTTACCCCAGGGAAGGTTCCCTACCTCGCTGTCACGCGGGAGGTGCAGATCTCAAGTGGCGAATTTGTGCACTACCTCAGCTTGGAGCAGGAGCGGAAAGTGCTGATGGCCTTGTGCGAGAACATCATCCGTGTGTACGACTACAATACCAAGACCCAAACCCGGGCCTTCAAGGTGAGCCAAGGTGTGTCGCTCACTTGCTGCTCCTCCTATTGGCCTCAGAGCTTCCTCTTCACTGGGGACCTCGCTGGGGACATCAAGGTGTGGAACTTTGACAAAGGGATCCAGACCACCCAGTTCAAGGCCCACCAGAGTGCCATCACCACCATCACCACCCGGCACTCGTTCCACACCATCATGACCACATCGCTGGACGGGTTGCTAAAGGAATGGAACCTGACCACCTGTGAGCTCCTCCGGCGCCTGGACATCGGGGAGCAGCTCTTCCAGATGCAGTTCCTCAATGAGCAGACCTTTTTCCTCTGCACCCTCCACACCTTCTCCATCCGCACCGTCCACAACTTCTGCCAGCTCTTCAGCAGAACCAACTCCATCCTCACGAAGCTGCTGCGGGTGCAGTGTGGACCCAACAAGGCTCGCATCCTGGCAGCCACGGAAGATGGGGTCATCCGATTCCTATCCCCCGTCACGGGGGAAATGCTGTTTGTCACCTGGCCCTTCCAGGTACTGGAAAAGGCCCTGGACTACGTCTATGACCCGGACAGAGAGGAGCTGCTGGTGACGATGGGCACCAACGACATCTACGTGCTGGACACCACCAAGAACCCCTGCCCGGTCAAGCACATCTTGCGTGTCACCGAGGGCCTAGATGACAGGGTGCTGTGCCTAGCCTACAGCCGCCTGGACCTGGAAGGCCGCACCTGCAGCTTCATCTTCAGCGGGTACAAGAGCGGAAAGGTACGCACCATCACCCAGAACTTGTATCGGATGGGGAACCGCAAATTGCATGACGGCAAGGTGGTGGCCCTCAGCAGCATCTCAGCCTCAGGGAACCTGTCCTACCACTCGCGGGAGTCTTCCTATCTGTGCTCCTACGGCCAGGACCAGTACATCATCCTCTCCGATGTTCTCTTGAAGAAGGACAACTTCCTAGAGGTGTTACCTTTGGTGGTCATCCCAAGCTTCAACTGCCGCATCAACAACCTCCTGCTCATCCCCGGTTATATCTGTGCCCTGACAGAGCACAACCGGGTCCGGCTGTGGCGCCAGGCGTCCCTGGTCCCTGGCCAGAAGAACCGCTTCTGGAAGGAGACTGGCGCCCTGCACTCTACCTCCATCACTTCCTTTGACTACTGCCACACCCTCAGCATGCTGGTGACCAGCGGCTCTGATGGCACCGTGCGCGTCTGGGACATCCTGGGGCAGATGCTGGTGGAGTTTGACACGAGCCTCAAATTCAGCCGAGTCTGCTTTGCCAACCAGCGGGGAGACCTGGTTGTGGGCTGCAACATGAATATCTACTTCATCCCATGCGTCTTGTACTTGCCCAGAGACCACCTCTACATGCTGATGTCCCGGTGTGTGAAGGACGACATGATTGAGCGCCCCTTAGCCTTTCTGCCTCACTTCCTCCTCACCTTCGACATAGTCTTTGTGCCTAAGTAAGTATGGGGAGAGGGACGTGGGTGGCGCTGTGGGTTAAACCACAGAGCCTAGGACTTGCTGATCAGAAGGTCGGCGGTTCGAATCCCGTTGCTCTGTCCCTGCTCCTGCCAACCTAGCAGTTCGAAAGCACGTCAAAGTGCAAGTAGCTAAATAGGTACCGCTCCGGCAGGAAGGTACCCGTATTTTTCGCTCTATAACACGCACCTGACCATAACACGCACGTAGTTTTTAGAGGAGGAAAACAAGAAGAAGAAAAATTCTAAATGAAACAGTGGCAGCCCACCTAAGAGGTGCCGGAACTGAGTTCCAGTGAGTTCCAGTTGGGAGAAAAGCCCTGGTGATATATCAGTATATCACAATGTTTAGCTGGTTACATATCACAAAGTTGAAAACCAGATACCGCCCAGCTCTAATGCAGACCACCAGTTCATTACATTCTGCTGCCTGAGGCAAAAGACAAGAAGGCACCCTTCCCCAAGGCACATACAGAAGCCAGTAGGACCGGCAGTGGAATCTTACTCCAATACTGGGCGAAGGACAATGAAGGCAGCAGGCTAGGGTAGGGGGCACAGGACAGGATGAAGGGCACTCACATCTCAGGCCATTCCCCCCATCCCACAGCACCTGCTGCCACATTATGGGCTGACCCTGCAGACCACACTCTGCAGACCCACCCCAACAGCGCACCTGCCACCCACTGACCCCCTTGAGAGCCTTCCTGCCTGCCATCTTTATTTTAACCAAGCGTCTCCCTACCTGCCCGCGGACTGTCTCACCAGAGTGGTGCATGCTCTGGTTATCTCCCGCTTGGACTACTGCAATGTGCTCTACATGGGGCTACCTTTGAAGGTGACCCAGAAACTACAACTAATCCAGAATGCGGCAGCTAGACTAGTGACTGGGAGCGGCCGCCAAGACCACATAACACTGGTCTTGAAAGACCTACATCGGCTCCCAGTACGTTTCCGAGCACAATTCAAAGTGTTGGTGCTGACCTTTAAAGCCCTAAACGGCCTCAGCCCAGTATACCTGAAGGAGCGTCTCGACCCCCACCGTTCTGCCCGGATGCTGAGGTCCAGCGCTGAGGGCCTTCTGGCAGTTCCCTCATTGCGAGAAGCAAAGCTCCAGGGAACCAGGCAGAGGACCTTCTTAGTAGTGGTGCCCGCCCTGTGGAACCCCTCCCATCAGATGTCAAAGAGATAAACAACTACCTGACATTGAGAAGACATCTGAAGACAGCCCTGTTTAGGGAAGTTTTTAATGTTTGACATCTTAGTGTATTTTGGTCTTTGTGGAAGCCGCCCAGAGTGGCTGGGGAATCCCTCCCCCCCCCCTGCACAGAACTACAGTTCCCTGCCGCCTTAACAAACTAGACTTTGGGTGCTTTCCCTCCCCAGGTATCGCCAGGTAGGGAGGCTGGCCAAGAAGTACGAGCGGCTGGAGCCCATCTCCAACCCCAAAGAGGTGGTGATGGAGAACAACGTGGCCACCGTCCTGCATTTCATCGGCAAGGAGGCGAGTGCCCTCCCTGGGCCAGATTTCTACGGGGCAGCGCCGTACATCAAGGAGCTGCAGCCGGAGTTCTTCGTGAAGTACCAGCTCCTCCCGCAGCAGGGTGCCAAGGCAACCCCGGAGAAGAAGACACTTCCAGCCGAGCTTCCACCAGCGCCGCCACCGTCCCGTGTGCTTCCACCGCTGGTTGAGCCCATCCCCGTCCTCAGCAGAATACCTTTCCAAGCCGGGCGCACGTGGCCTATCGCCCCCGACGGCTACGTCCCCAATTCGGTTATCCGGGCCCAGCTGTTTCCAAAGGGGACACCCAAAGCCCTGCAGTGCAGCTTGGACCTGAGCAGGCAGCCCTTACCCAGGCGCAAGATGGTCAAGATCCTGCTGCCGGAGACGGACGAGCCCGAAGCAGTAGACAAAATCCGGAGGAAAAAGCCGCAGAGGCGGCGGACCTCTGTGGCCTTCTCAGGGCTGATGCGCTCCCGGGACCTCCTGTCCGAGATCGTGTCGAAGCCCTGGCTGCGGCACAAGCCCAGCGACAACACCTTGCCCTCCGTCACGAAGGCCATCCTGGACCTCATGGACGACGTGCCCTACTCCACGTACTTGATGTGCACGGCTGCCCTCGTCCAGCTGGCCGAGTCCTACCCGCTGCCAGAAAAGGTCCAAGAAGACGCCTTCGAGCGTCTCATCCAGGACACCACCCACAAGGAGGTCAGTGCAGTCCTTCGAAGGGCTTGGGGGGAGGGGGCAGCACAGGGACATTGGCAAGCCGTACTTTTACTAGCTTCATTTGTTGTTGTTGTTTAGTTGTTTAGTCGTGTCTGACTCTTTGTGACCCCCTGGACCAGAGCACGCCAGGCACTCCTGTCTTCCACTGCCTCCCGCAGTTTGGTCAGACTCATGCTGGTAGCTTCGAGAACACTGTCCCGCCATCTCGTCCTCTGTCGTCCCCTTCTCCCTCTCCTTGTGCCCTCCATCTTTCCCAGCATCAGGGTCTTTTCCAGGGAGTCTTCTCTTCTCATGAGGTGGCCAAAGTCTTGGAGCCTCAGCTTCAGGATCGGCCCTTCCAGTGAGCACTCAGGGCTGATTTCCTTCAGAATGGAGAGGTTTGATCTTCTTGCAGTCCATGGGACTCTCAAGAGTCTCCTCCAGCACCAGAATTCAAAAGCATCAATTCTTCGGCGATCAGCCTTCTTTATGGTCCAGCTCTCACTTCCATGCATCACTACTGGGAAAACCATAGCTTTAACTAAACGGGTGATGTGTTGGAATGTACCCCACGGGCCATCTAGTCTGACCCCCTGCAATGCGGGAATCATAGCTGCAGAACCCCCAGCAGGGGACCACCCAACCTCTGCTTACAAACCTCCAAGGAAGGAGAGTCTGCCATCTTCCATTGTCATAGAATCATCAAATTATAGAGTTGGAAGGGACCCCACGGGTCATCTAGTCTGGCCCCGTGCAATGCAGGAATCACAGCTAACGCTTGGAAGGGGATTTCCCAGGGATTTCTCCCCTTTCTCTGGCCAGGTCCTCTCCATGCGGAATGGCAGCTGTAAGGGGCGGGTGAAGGATTGCGACTGGAGACCTGGTTGGGGGCAAGAGGAAAGCAGGGGGCTGAGGGAGGAGGAAAGAGCCGCCCGGAAGTATGAGGCGTTTTAATGGTGGAGGGGCTGAAACCAAAGAACCGAGGTCTATCAGGTTTTCTGGCTGAATCCAAAAACAGCTAGAGCCAAAGGTTCCCTCTCTGAATTCTTCTCATGAGGGATCCCATCCCCTCCAACATTTCTCCAAGGAAAATGGGGGCAGGTTGTTCCACTTCAAGAAGCTTCTTCCACATTTGATCTCCCGTACACACAGGCGTCCATGTGCGCATCTACCGGAGCTGCTCACAGGGTTGTTGTGAAGAAAAAAATGTGTGAGGGGGAAGGGATCCTGTATAGCCCCTTCCACAGATTAACGGAAGGAAGCAACGTTTTAGCTGTAAACTGCCTTGAGTCCCTTTCAGGGGGAAAGGCGGGGATAATAATAATAATAATAATAATAATAATAATAATAGAAGCAGCAGCAGCTCTGAGAATGACCAGGAACATATCAGAGCATAAATCCTATTGAACTCAGCGGGAACTGAGTAAAAATTCTTAGGATTTCAGTGTAAGGCTGACGTGTCTGGACCCTTTTACCTGAGAGCAAGCTTCATTGACTACAGTGTGACTTACTTCTGAGTAAGACGGTATAAGCCTCCACTTACAATAAAGGAGAAAAACAATCCACGCATTTCCTCAAAAATGGCTGGCTGAGGAAGCGCCGCAATGAAAAGACGCAACGAAAGTAGACTGGCGACCTTTTCCTTCAAAAGCATAGGCAGCGCACCTTCACCATTTCCTTCATCGGGTGCAACAATCTTATTTCCAGCAGAAACAGGACTCCGTTTTGGGCAGCTCCAACATATACAGAGAGACTACTTTTAATTGTTCTCCAAGACACGGAGGGGGGGGGCAAAGGGCAAAGCAGGACGTCCTGGGGTCAAATGGACCACCCTGAGGTCTCTAGGTAGAGGACGGTATATATATTCAGTAAATAAATAAATAAAAACCAAAAAAACAAAACACCAGGAGTGCCTTCTGCAATTCCGGGACTGTCCCTGGAAAATCGGGGCACTTGTAGGATATGGGAGCCAATGCAGCAGGGAGCCACTGGCCTTTCCCGCCTTTTTGGTTTCCGCCCTTGTTCTTGTCCGCTTCGCCTCAGCCCCATGGTGGCCTCTGCTGCTTCCTGCCTCACCCTTCCCCAAGCGAGGCAGAGATGGCCAGTCAGGTGTCATCGCCAGCAGCCTCACGGCTCCTCTTGCCCCTCATCCTGGCGCCTCACAGGGGCCCCTCTCAGTCCCTCTCCATGCCCCCTTGGCACTTCACGAGGCCCGAGGGCAGCCATTTTGTTTTATTTATGACATTTGCAGGCTGCTCTTCCTCCCAAGGGCCCCTGCCTCCGAGGTAAAAACAAAAGGCTCCCCCCTCAGAGACTGAATGTGGGAACTGTGTTAGAATCATAGAATAGAATCATAGAATCCTAGAGTTGGAAGAGACCACAAGGGCCATCGAGTCCAACCCCCTGCCAAGCAGGAAACACCATCAGAGCACTCCTGACATATGGTTGTCAAGCCTCTGCTTAAAGACCTCCAAAGAAGGAGACTCCACCACACTCCTTGGCAGCAAATTCCACTGTCGAACAGCTCTTACTGTCAGGAAGTTCTTCCTAATGTTTAGGTGGAATCTTCTTTCTTGTAGTTTGGATCCATTGCTCCGTGTCCGCTTCTCTGGAGCAGCAGAAAACAACCTTTCTCCCTCCTCTATATGACATCCTTTTATATATTTGAACATGGCTATCATATCACCCCTTAACCTCCTCTTCTCCAGGCTAAACATGCCCAGCTCCCTTAGCCGTTCCTCATAAGGCATCGTTTCCAGGCCTTGGACCATTTTGGTTGCCCTCCTCTGGACACGTTCCAGTTTGTCAGTGTCCTTCTTGAACTGTGGTGCCCAGAACTGGACACAGTACTCCAGGTGAGGTCTGACCAGAGCAGAATACAGTGGCAGAATACAGTGTTGATTCATCTTGCCTTTTTTCCTGACAGAATTAAGGTTCTTTTTCCTCAGCCTCTGCTCCCTTTCAGGTCACAGCTTTGCTGGCCAGGCTGGAAAATCATGGCTGCCTGGCACTCAGGGTTTTGGTTTTATTCTTTGGTATTGTAACACGCTGCTCCAATCACCATGAGCGGTGCGAGATTCCAGGGGTTGTAGACAGACCTTAATAATAATAAGAACTATAAGAACAATAACAATAATAAGAACAACAACAACAATAATAATGTTATTATTTACGGTATATTATTTATATGCCCCAGGGTCTGTGTTGGGACAAATGAGGCTCCACGGAGACTGTGGTGCTTTTAGGATATATGGTTTATTGACACAGACATTCAAGCTGAACTTAGAGGAAGGGGCTCACAGCACTGGCACCCCAAATGGTCCCTGCTTCTTTCCGTAGCCATAGCCTTGCCCTCAGACGGACGTCATGCCGGCCAACTCCAACCCACCAGTCTAAACCCTCGGCTTTTATCAGCTTTATTAATGGTGAACCCCAAAATTTCCACATCTGCTAATACCAGAGGCGTATTGGTGGGTCTGCTGTTGCGTTCTGAGGCCAAAGGAAAGGATCGGACCCTGATTAAAATAAGACACGAGGCTTTGACCAGCAAGGCTCTCGGAGAACGTGCGTCCCCACACTCCTCACCAGGCCATTTTATTAGCAAAAGAATCCTTTACGCAGTGCTCATAAGAACCAATCAGATTTCCTACTTACCAAAGTAAGCGAGCCACAGGTGTGTGAATATGAGGAAGGCAGTGACTGGAAATATTTATAGCAGAGACATCATGGTTAAATAAGGCAGGGACCCTGGGATCCCTGGGACCCTTACAAAACAGGGACCCTGGGATCCCAAGGGAAGGTAATGAACATATTCAAATGACCAAAGTCACTGTATTGGCCATATTCATTCATGGGCCAAGGGGGTCCCAGGCCATGAGTTCCTCCTGGCTTAGAAATGAATAAGGTCAGACCAAAGCGGTATAAAACTGTCCCTTTTCCTTTGGACCCTGGGGACTCTCAGTTGATCCGTTCCTTTCTCCACACTTTAGCCTAGCAAGCAGTAAGACTGGCCCCATCTAAATTTCCCCAAAACTGTGCAGTGGTCCTTCAGCCACTGTAAGCAGCTACACTACCAAGTCTTTCTTTTGCAAACTCTATTATGCAACACCAGTAGGAGGTTGGTCACGGGTATTAGCATCTTCTGGAGGGGGAACCAAGGCTGGCTTTCCCTCTGGCCATGCCAAAGGCTGCGGCAGAGGCTGGCCCCTGGTCCACACCCAGGCGCTGGCCCCTGAGCTCATGTGTACGAGGATATGGACCCCTGTTCTTGCTCCACAGGTGAGGATGAGGCTGGCAGCCTGGGAGGCCTTAGGGAAGATGGACCTGCTGAGTGAACAGGAAGTGGTCCCCCTGGCCCGAGCCCTGCTGGACGAGAACAAGAAAGTGCGTGACCTGGCCCGGTCACTGCTGGACTCTGTGGCTGGCATCACGGACAAATTTGTCCTGAAGAAGGAGATGCAGCGGATGGCGGATTCCAGCCTGGTAGACTTGTAAGTGTCTCCTCTGAGGCATGAGTGGGGTATCCCTGACCCCCAAAGCAACACCCCCTGTGGCTCGGAGGAGCTTCCTGAAGGGTCTCTTTTGCAGCTTCTGGCAAAGTTAGACTCAGCTGTTCCCTGCCCAATTGGGTTATGATGCTGCTCTGTGCTGTACCCAGGTGTAGGCTATGACTGAGGATGAGGAGCTTAAAGGTGGGCCTCACATGACACACACTCAGCACATTTGCAAAGAGCTGTGTGTGTCCAATTAGCCAATAGCAGAAGCCCTGAAGTAGTTAAAACATCCCCTCAATAAGATGAACAGCAGGACTGAGATGTTTTGAAAGGGAATAAGATATTTTGCTTTGCAGTGGGGAGATTTACTAGAGGGTAGGGAAAGATCTGCCATAAGCCAAAAGCCTGGATCCACCCACCCCCATTCCTCTGGGGCCCTCCTCTCAATTTTACCCCTCCTTCAGCTGTTTACTCTTTGCTCCAAGGGATGTGGGTGGTGCTGTGGTCTAAACCACTGAGCCTCTTGGGCTTGCCGCTTGTCCATCAGAAGGTCTGCGGTTCGAATCTGCTCTACGGTGATGAGCTCCCATTGCTCTGTCCCAGCTCCTGCCAACCTAGCACTTCAAAAGCACACCAGTGCAAGTAGATAAATAGGTACCTCTGCGGTGGGAAGGTAAATGGTGTTTCTGTGCACTCTGGCACTCGTCACAAGCTGTCTGTTGTCAAATGCTGGTTCCCCCTGCCTGAAAAGTGAGATGAGCGCCGCACCCCGTAGTCACCTTTGACTGGACTTAACCATCCAGGGGTCTTTTACTTTTACTTCTTTGCTCCTTCCAGGTCTTCATTTGGTCGCGATCAAAGCGCCTTCCCTCGCAGAGTGCGGGCTGCCGGCATCATGGCAGAGACAGCGGATGAAGCTAAGGTTGCTCTGACAGAAGGAGCACAGAAGCTGATGACTCGGGTTGAGAACCAGCTAACAGCCAATCTGTTCTTGATGAACGAGATCCCGCCCAAAGTAGTCCGCGACCGCCGCTCCACCGTTTCCCGTCTTAGGTCACCATCCCAGGGAACATCTGTAGACTTTACCACCCCCGAAACCCTTCCCGTTGGACAGGCGCGGTGGCTGGGAATCTTTGGCAGGCCTGAGAGGAGAGCTGCGCCTGCTGCTGCCCCTTTTGTCCCTGAAAGAGGCGAGTACAAATCCCTGCCTAGAGAGGGCATCTTGAAGCGTTGTTGCTGGGAGGAGCGCCATTCCCAGGCTGGCCACCATCCTCTGGGGCTATCACCTGCTTAGGCTCCCTGGTAGGTCAGGCTGTCCTGACTTGGACTGGCAACCTGTGGTCAGTGTCCAATGAAGTGGGTTTGTCTCCCTTTTCACTTGCACAAGCAGCCTTGAATCCCATGGTAGAAAGTTGTGGAATGACTGACACTTCCACTTGCGCTGCACTTAGGAAGCACGAGTCCCCCCTTGCCTCATTCCTTTCCAGGGAAACCTGCTTTTTAGTGAGAGATCAGAACCAATGTCACTCCAGGAAAACATCAAAACCGGTCACATTAAATAGCAGTTTTCCTGCAGGGAAAGCAGAGGCACAAGAGGAAGTGTGTGTTGGAGTAACTGGACATGGAAGATGGGGTTCATTTCCCCCATGAGCAAAAATCTCCCCATGTACGTGGTAAGTCAACAGGTGCAAGATCAGCCAAGCCAGTTGCTATGGCAATGGCCCAGTGTCACCTATGTAAGTGATTCAGGCATGGCAGCTCATTAGTCAGTGAGTCTGTCCGTGAATCAAATTCTGCACTACAGCTTGAAGCTGGGGCAATGGAGATACTTCGTGCTTGTGCAGTATATATGTATGGCGTTTCCGTGCGCTCTGGCTTCTGTCACAGTGTTCCGTTGCGCCAGAAGCGGTTTAGTCATGCTGGCCACATGACCCGGAAAGCTGTCTGTGGACAAACCAGCTCTCTCAGTCTGAAAGCAAGATGAGCGCTGCAACCCTTTGACAGGGCCTTTGACCGTTGCCTTTGACTGGGCTTAATGGTCCAGGGGTCCTTTACTTTTTTTTACATCTGTGTCTTCAAAGCCTACAAGCTGTATGTACCGTATTTTTCGCTCTATAGGATGCACTTTTCCCCCTGCAAAAATGAAGGGGAAATGTGTGTGCGTCCTATAGAGCGAATGCAGGCTTTCGCTAAAGCCTGGAGAGCGAGAGGGGTCGGTGCGCACCGACCCCTCTCGCTCCCCGGGCTTCAGACAGCTATCCGCAAGCCTTCGGAGCGCGGCGGGAGCCCACCGGGCTCTGGAGGCTTGCGGATAGCAGCCTGAAGCCTGAAGCCTGGGGAGTGCAGCGCCAACTCCCACTGCGCTCCCCGGGCTTCAGGCAGCTATCCGCACACCTTCGGAGCGCGCCCCCAGCCCCACAAGCTCCGGGAGCGGCGGCAAGGCTGCGCACAACCTTGCCGCTGCTCCCAGACCTGTTCTGGGGGCTGGGGTCAGGGGAAGCTCGGGCTTCCCCCGCCCCAGCCCCGCGGCTAAAAACGAAGCCAAGACAGCGAGTGGGATCCATCTCGGCTGGAGAGGTTGTGTGTGGCTAAAGAGGAAGCCAAGACAGCCAGCGGGATGGATAGTGGGATCCATCCCGGCTGGAGAGGTTGTGTGTGGCTAAAGAGGAAGCCAAGACAGCCAGCGGGATGGATCCGGCTCTCTGTCTTGGCTTCTTTGCTCTTTGGGGCTGGGGGGGGATAATTCCCCCCCCTTTATTCCCCCCCTATTTCCCGCCCTAGTGTCCGGTGCTCCCTATGGAGCGAAAAAAACGGTACATATCAATGTCCAGAACTGTATTACTGAAGCCTTGTCTTCTGCAACAGTAAACCGTTTTGGACCTGAAGCCACCTCTGTGTGGTGAGTGGGATGGGGGACAACTTCTGCTACATAGGTATCTTCCCTCAGATTCCTGACATTATTCTGCCCATGTCTCTGGTTAATCTCACTCCTTTCCTTGTCCCTTCACAGCTGGTGGCGATAAGCTCCCCAGGATCCCTCAAGCACGAGGCAAGGGGCTCACTGTGCCAATAGTGAGTGGAACAGGTCTGGAGGAGCGCAGCCCCAGCCTCAGCCCCACCCCCAGCATGGCCACCGCCAGCTCCAGCTCCAGCAGCTCCAGCTTCAGCAGCACCAGCAGTGGCTCCATGTGGCGGGAGGTGCGGCTTGAAAGGCGGGAGCTCAAGGCAAAGGAGAAGGAGAAGGAGAAAAGGCTCAGGCCCAAGGTCCTGCCCACCATTCCCCACGAGGCCCCGAAGGTGCTCAAGGTGCGCAAGAAGGCCCAGCCCATCCTCTTGCAGCGGCGTGACACTCGCACCCAGCTCTACACTGAGATGCTGAAGCACCAGAGGGACAGGAAGGACTTGCAGGCAGCCGCCCTCCCAACATCGGAACTCAAGCCAGATACTGCTGTTCTGCCGCCTAAACCCAGCCAGGTGGGCGTCCCCACCCTGCCGCCAGTGCCCACCAAAGGCAGCCTCATTGACCCTAACCAGGAGTACAGCTCTGACAAGACCAAGTGGCGTGCCGACCTCCACAAGCTGTTGATGCTCCGCATCGGCCCCCACATAGAGGGCCGCACTGCGGCTGAGGACCTCCTGGCCTCGGCCCGGTATGCCCTGGCTGGCCGCACCATGTCCTGGGAGGACATTGTCAACATCAGCCAGTCCCTCCTCACTTCCCAGGAGAAGCCAGCCGTTGATGAAAAGGCATGGGCGGCATATGTGGAGCGTCTGCAAAAGCCCAGAGGAAGACAGTCGTTGTCCCAGCCTTCCACGGAGAGCCTGGAGAAGGTGGTGGGAGTCACGAAGAAGCAAGAGGAGTTCAGCAGTTCGGAGACAGAGTTTGAGAGTGAGAGTGAGGAGGAATTCATTAGGGGGAAGGGAGTGAGAGAGCATGGAGAGGCCGGACGAAAGAAGCGAAAGAAGAGAGGCCGGACAGCTGGAGAACAGGAGGGGAGGTCAGCCTCAGACAAAGAAGTGGCAGGGAAAGTGGTGGCAAAGGCGGTTAAAGGGAAATCGTATGAGTCAATCCGGGGAAAGGAGCGGGAGGCGGCCAGGACGCGAGTGCGAGAGGTGATCAAGGAAAGAGACCGAGAGGCGGCCAGGGAAAGGGAGCTGGAGGCGGCCAAGGCAAGGGAGCACGAGGAGGCCAAGGCACGGGAGCTGGAGGCAGAAGCCATGGCAAGGGAGCGAGAGGTGGCCAGGGCGAGAGAGCGGGAGCTGGCCCGGCGGAGGGAGCGTGAGCGAGAGGCAGCTGCAAGGAAACGGAAGAGATTGGGGAAGCTGGTTGACAAAGACAGAGAGGGCCTGGAGGGGCCAGAGCTGGCCAGGAGAGAAGCCCTGAAGCCCATCCTCAAGGAGTCGGAAAGGAAGCTGGTCGAGATGACCGAGAGTGCCCTGGCTGAGGTGAGGGGAAAGGCCAAAGAGAGGATGATGAAGGAGCTCAAGGAGAGGGCATTGGCCGAAGCCAAGCACCTGGCCAAGGAAGATGTGAAGGCGAAGGCGCTGGGCGAAGCCAGGGACCTGGCCCTGGTCGAAGCCAAGGAGCAGGCGATGCTCAAGGCACGGAAGATGGCCATGGCGGAAGAATGGGAAAAGGTGATGGCCGAGGCACGCAGGAAGGCACAGGCAGAGCTGGAGGAGAGGGTGATGGCCGAGGCGATTAAGATAGCCCAGGCCGAGAATAAAGAGGGGGAGGAGGCCAAGGAAAGGATTCGGGAACTGCTCAGCTCAGTAGTGCTGGAAGTGGACGAGGCCAGGGTCCTGGAGCTGGCCAGGGAAATGGGCTTGGTAGTGGATGAGGAGAGGATACAGGAGCTGCTCAAGGAAATTGCCTTGGAGGTGGACGAGGCGAGAGTCCAGGAGCTGGCAGAGTTAAGGCGCGAAGAACTGGTGGAGGCCGTCGCTCAGAGGCTGGCTAAGGAAAAAATGTTGGGCCTGTCTGAGTCGAAACTCAAGGAGCTCATTGAGGCCAAAGCCATGGAGATGGCCCAGGCAAGAACGAGGGCCCTGGAGGGAGAGGGGGAAGAGGAGGAAGGAGTTGGAGAAATGGCTGAAAGAAGAAAGAAAATGGTGGCTAAAAGAAGAGTTATCCATTGGGGGGAGGAAGGGGAAGAGTGGGACTGGGAGTGGGAGGAGCTGGAGAAGAAGGAGGAAGGAGATGAAATGTGGGAAGACCTAGTAGAGAAGACCTTTGAGTTCCTCAATGATGAGGAGAGAGAGGCTCTGATAGCCCTATGGGAGGAAGAAGCGACTCCAAAGCTAGAAGACGACCAACTTGAGCTTTCAGAACATGCTCAACTGTTCTTGGACATCCTGACTCAGCCAGAGAAGCTGGAGTCCAGTGACGCCGCCACCTACAAGCGCCTCTTCCAAGTGGTGTCAATGCTTGAAGTTTCTTCGGGGGTGGAGGCCGAGGCCCTGGCAGGGGCTTTGCTGCAGAAAGCACAGCAGATCTTACAGAAAGGGGAGGAGATGAAGGGGCTCTTGAGCAAAGGGCACTCTGCTCTGATGCAACAGCTCAAAGAAGCAGTGGAGGCCTACCAGATCTGGAACACTGATTCCCAGGAGCTTACAGCCAAGATGGAGACCCTTCAGAAGACTGCCCTGACGGTGTTGCAGGCGAGGAACCTGAAGGTAAAGCTGCAGAAAGAGGCCAGGAAGAGATCCTTGTGGGAGAGCGTGAAGAAGGAGTGGACGGAGGAGAAAGGCAAATTTATTAAGAAGAGCTTCCTGAACAAGAGGCTGAAGGAAGCCATAAGGAAACTGAAGGCTGAGGAAGAAAAGGCTGAGCAAGGAAGAATAGAGCAGCTGCGAACGGAAAGGCGCCTCAAATTCAGATCCCGGCCCATTGTGCTAGGTGAGGTGGAGAAGGAGAAAGACATGGAGAGGCCAGAGGGGGAGAGGAAGGAGGCGGACGAGGAGGAGAAGCAGAAGAGAGGAGAGCTTGGCAGGAGTTCAAGCAAGATAACATGGTCCCTGGCGGGGAAGGAGAAGGCCTGGAAGGCCATCACGCAGATGGAGGGGCTGCCCATGGCCGCCACTATTATCAGCCCAAAGAAGTACCGGCTTCCAAAGGACTCTCTGTACAGACGTGGCCAGCCAAAAGCACGATTCCGCCGGCGGAGCCTCACCAGGGGTCCCCTTAAGCACGCCTTCCGCCTGTATGAAGACAAAGGGGTTGACTGGGAGAGGTTCATGAAGCTCTACCAGTCCCTCATGGTCCTGAAGGAGCAGAAGGCGGGCATCGAGTCGTTGGCGTGGCAGGAGCAGACCACCAAGCTGCTAGACCTCTACGGCTTGACCAACCCGCTCATCCACGCCATGACGCAGCACCTGCTGCTGGGAGACCGCAGAGAGCGCACATACGTCAAGGGCAGCGCCCTGAGGATGCGGAAGGCGCAAGCTGGTCTGGGGGCAAGGATACTCTACGAGATGATCCATCACTCGGTTCGGCTCCCCCCAGGCTTCCCGCCTGGCATGGCATCATCCCGCTCAGCTATCAGAACAACGTGCACACCTTCAAGGTCCGGGGCATCACCCGCTATGGCACCCTGTCCCTCAAGTGGAAGACCACCGTTGCCAGGGGAAAGGCCTCCAAGCTCCGCCTCTACGTCCACTCAGGCTCCCAGAGCAAATAGCTCCCCTTGTTTGTTTTGTTTTTTAACCCGGAGAGAAATATATAGATTTGTATGCGTGTGATATTCTTTTCTACTGAATCTTTTCGAGAGTCGCATCAGACATCCCTCAGCGAGCTGCATTGAAAGGGAGTCTCAAGGTGTTTCCAGGGCAGGGAATGATCCTTGAAGTGCCCAGTGGAATAAACATGACATAGATGCCACCTGCAGTTGCCGTTTTGAGTTTTTACTGTTAGAGAAGGCGCCTAGTTAAACTGTGGAGCAGGAAGCAATGATGGTCACCAACCTAAGTAAAGGTAAAGGGACCCCTTGTGGGAATGTTCTGGGGTGCAGGAGAGGATATATTGACTAATTATATCCTTGTCCAACTTGTGCTAACAAGTTCCCAAAATATCAGCAGAGTTTACATACATTCCCCTTTAGTACGCAACGGTAACGTGTGCACAGGTTCGCTAGAACCTCTATAATAATTACCCTGGTAATTTCCCCTTTAGTTCCCTCTTAAAATACAAGACACGACACAGTCTTCATAAAAGTATAAAAGAGTTTACTCACGTTCTGTTCACAATGTGATCCCAGAAGGCACAGCTTAAAAAGGTTACATAGATTTAGAATCTATCTCATAGCAAGATAGGCCTTATCTCCTCTCTTGGCTGGGAGCCAAGAGGGCATCCTTAGGTGTTTCCTCGTCGAAGGAAAATGGCAGAGAGAGAGAGATGGCTGCCTGCCCTGTGCTTTTTGTCATCACCTGCACAGGTGAGGCCACACCCACCTCTAGTCACATGTGGAGGAAGTCCGTCCCCAGGAAGTTTACCTGCTTGCTGGACAGACATCCCCACCATGTTCTAACATGTACACTCTAGGAATGTTGTCATTGACTGCTCCTGTGTTTACATCCCACACCCCTGACCATCAGGTCCAGTCGTGGCCGACTCTGGGGTTGCGGCGCTCATCTCGCTTTATTGGCCGATGGAGCCGGCGTACAGCTTCTGGGTCATGTGGCCAGCATGACTAAGCCACTTCTGGCGAACCAGAGCAGCTCACGGAAATGCCGTTTACCTTCCCACCACAGTAGCAAGTAGACCTATTTATTATTTGCACTTTGATGTGCTTTCGAACTGCTAGGTTGGCAGGAGCTGGGACTGAGCAACGGGAGCTCACCCCATCGCGGGGATTCGAACTGCCGACCTTCTGATCAGCAAGTCCAAGAGGCTCTGTGGTTTAACCCACAGCGCCACCCGCATCCCAATATCACCACCACCAAAAGTGGATTGGGCAACACGAAGGGGAATAAAGCTATTGCTGGCTACTAGCCGCAATCATAGAACCGTAGAGTTGGAAGGGACCCCAAAGGTCCTCTAGTCCAACCCCCTGCAATGCAGGAATCTCATCTAAAGCATCCTTAACAGATGGCCATGATCATGGCTGTGCTCTGTTCATCCACTGTGAGAACAAGATGCTGGACTAGGTGGGCCCCCTTTGGCCTGATCCAGCTGCAGGGCTCTCCTTGTGTATACTCATGAGGAGGAGACCTCATGGAAGCTCTTACGTTCAGAAGCATTTGGGCACTGAGTATCACACACATCTATCCTGGCACTGGGAAGCTGATTCACTCATGCAGGTGCTAAGTTATGACCATGAAAAAACACAGAAGGCTGGCAAAGCCAGACGTGTCTTTAGGTTATATGGTTTTATTTCCGCATATATACAGTATATATACAGAGAAGACTCCCTGGAAAAGACCCTGATGTTGGGAAAGATGGAGGGCACAAGGAGAAGGGGACGACAGAGGACAAGATGGTGGGACAGTGTTCTCGAAGCTACCAGCATGAGTGTGACCAAACTGCAGGAGGCAGTGGAAGACAGGAGTGCCTGGCGTGCTCTGGTCCATGGGGTCACGAAGAGTCGGGCACGACTAAACAACAACAACATATACAGCCTAAGATGGAGGGGCTCACGGCATTAATAACCCAGCAGAACCTGTTTCCCTCGTAGTCACAGCTTTGGATCCAGCACAGAGCAAGCAGGTCTTTGGGTCTCCAGCCTCCAGCCTTATTCCAGTTCAGCTCTCTCACAGCACTCTGGCTATTGTTTATCCCGGTGGTGTGCAGAAGGTGGAGGAAAGGCCTACCCATTAGCCTGGAGGGACTCTCCTTCCCTGGAAGTTTTTAAGCAGAGGTTGGATGGCTTAGGGATGCGGGTGGCGCTGTGGGTTAAACCACAGAGCCTAGGACTTGCTGATCAGAAGGTCGGCGGTTCGAATCCCCGCGACGGGGTGAGGTCCCGTTGCTCGGTCCCTGCTCCTGCCCACCTAGCAGTTCAAAAGCACATCAAAGCGCAAGTAGATAAATAGGTACCGCTCCGGCGGGAAGGTAAATGGCGTTTCCGTGAGCTGCTCTGGTTCGCCAGAAGCGGCTTAGTCATGCTGGCCACATGACACGGAAGTTGTACGCCGGCTCCCTTGGCCAATAAAGCGAGATGAGCGCCGCAACCCCAGAGTCGGTTACGACTGGACCTAATGGCAGTGAAGGCCGCTAAGAAGTCCTACTTCTCGGCCTCCATTGCATCCGCTAGCTCTCGCCCGGCACAATTATTTAGTATAATTCGGTCTTTAACGTCCCTCGAAGGACAGCCAAATTTAAATAACAATTCGACACACAGCTGTGAGGCATTTGCGAGCTTTTTTGCGGAGAAGGTCCTGTCGCTCCGCCATGACCTCCCTGCCAATTTGGATACAATAAAGGAACTGGAGGCCCCTCGACTGTCCTCGGGTCCAGTATTGGACCACTTTGACCGGATATCCCCAGCCGATGTGGACAGACTCCTCCGAGCTGGAAAGCCCACCACTTGTCCTCTCGACCCGTGCCCGTCTTGGCTGATTAGAGCGTGTCCAGACGAGGTGCGGGCCCCCCTGGGGGATATCATCAATTTGTCCCTTGGCACCAGGACATTCCCAGGGGAACTGAAGGAGGCAGTGGTGCGTCCGCTCTTAAAGAAAACATCATTAGATCCCTTAGATCTATCCAATTACCGCCCAGTTTCGAATCTTCCATTCCTGGGTAAGGTGATTGAGAGAGCGGTTGCTGAACAGCTTGGTAGGTTTCTGGATGAAACATCGGCTCTGGATCCATTCCAGTCCGGCTTCCGCGCTGGTCATGGGACCGAGACGGCTCTGGTCGCCCTAACAGATGATCTTCGTAGACAGCTGGATCGAGGCGGGTCGGGGCTGCTGATTCTTCTAGATCTGTCAGCAGCTTTCGACATGGTTGATCACGAACTTCTGGACCACCGCCTCGCCGACGTGGGGATCCAGGGCACAGTCCTTCAATGGCTGCGCTCGTTTCTCTCTGGTCGGGGACAGAGGGTGGCGCTTGGGGGGGAACTGTCATCCCGCCACTCCTTGGTGTGTGGAGTGCCTCAGGGTGCGATTCTCTCCCCGATGCTTTTTAACATCTTTATGCGCCCCCTCGCCCAGCTTGTCCGGAGTTTTGGGCTGGGCTGCCATCAGTATGCTGATGACACCCAACTCTATCTGTTGATGGATGGCCATCCTGACTCGGCCCCAGACACACTGATCAGTTGCTTGGAGGCTGTGGCTGGATGGTTACGTGGGAGCCGGTTGAAGTTAAATCCTTCGAAGACAGAGGTCCTCTGGCTGGGACGGGACGATATGGGATTGAGGGGGCAACTCCCATCTCTTGCGGGGGTGCAATTAGTGCCAGCACCGTCCGTTAAGAGTTTGGGTGTAATCTTCGATACCTCCCTCTCCATGGAGGCGCAGATTGCAGCTATAACAAAGGCGGCATTTTTTCATCTCCGCCAAGCTAAGCAGTTGGCTCCTTACCTCTCTCGCCCTGACCTAGCCACTGTGATCCACGCGACGGTCACCTCCAGACTGGATTATTGTAACTCGCTCTACGTGGGGCTGCCCTTGAGACTGACCCAGAAACTCCAGCGGGTGCAGAATGCCGCAGCGAGACTCCTTACGGGGTCTTCACTGCGGGATCACATTCATCCGGTGCTATACCAGCTGCACTGGCTCCCGGTGGAGTACAGGATCAGGTTTAAGGTGCTGGTTTTAACCTTCAAAGCCCTACACGGCCTAGGACCCTCGTATCTACGGGACCGCCTCTCCTGGTATGCCCCACAGAGGAACTTACGGTCCTCAAATAAAAACATCTTGAAGGTCCCAGGCCACAGAGAGGTTAGGCTGGCCTCAACTAGAGCCAGGGCTTTTTCGGCTGCGGCTCCAACCTGGTGGAACGCTCTGTCACAAGAGACAAGGGCCCTGCAGGACTTGACATCTTTCCGCAGGGCCTGCAAGACAGAGCTGTTCCACCAGGCCTTTGGTTAGGGCACAGCCTGACTCCCTCCTTTGGCAATCTTTACAATACTTTAGTTTATGGTTGCCATCAATTTTGATTTTAATTAATTCTTATGATGTTTTATAATGTTGCACTATTTTAGTGTTGTTAGCCGCCCTGAGCCGGCTTCGGCTGGGGAGGGCGGGATATAAATAAAATTTATTATTATTATTATTATTAATGGTCAGGGGTCCCTCTACCTGGATGGCTTTAGTTGAGGTTCATGCATGGGGGGTGGTGGACTAGATTACCCTTCTTTGCAACTCTCTGATTCTATTATTCTAGGGCCCCCTCAGTTAGCTGTTGCCCTTGAGTCCTCGTTCCTTCTTTTGGGATGAAGACGAGGACACTCAAGTCGCCAGCTAAAGTCACTGCCTTACATAGAGCCTTCCCTGATCTGTGCAACAATAGAATCTTCTGTTAGAGTCCAACCCTCACAGAGTACAGGATCCCAAGAACTGGAAGGAGCTCTGGGCATCATCCAGGTTGACCCCACAAACCCACAGCAAGAATAAAGATCTCTAGGCAGCCCCTACCCTGCCAGCCAGCACAGAAGCAAGAGACGCCCACAGAAGACAAGGAAAAATCAAGCCCTCTAGGTTAGCTCAGAGAGGGCAACAGGCAGCAGCAAAGCCCTGAATTCCTGCTCTTGCTAACTCATGTCTTATGACGTATCTTTGTGTGTGCGTGTGGAGGAACGCAATTTTTTTTTTAGTCCTTGGCATTTAAAAGTGCCAGCTGTCTGCAGGAAGTCACTGGAACAGAAGCTTCTGCATCCCACTGAGTCTTGGGCTGGGAGGGTGTCTGAGGGAGCAACTGAAGGAGACTTGGCTTTTGCTGCAACCTGAGAGGAGATGATGATAGATAGATAGATAGATAGATAGATAGAAAGATAGATAGATAGATGATAGATAGATAGATAGATAGA